TTAACATTAGTGTTACTTTGCTCTTAATTTTTTAACAAATTTTCACAAGTTGATTTCCTTTATTTTGTTAATGTAGAATGGTAATGAACTGCTCTTTTCATTTTCTTTGTTTTATTTGTTTCGTTTGAATTTGATTTATCAGTTTAGTTTTTGATTGTTTAATTTTTGTTAATGAAGTTGATTCTTTTAAACTTCGTTTTTATTTTTGAACTCTACTTGGTGTAGGTGTTCATCAGGTAATACCTCGACTGAGTTCAATATAGAGATTAGCCGGTTGATTTGTTGGATATAAACCTTTGAATAATAGCGCCTAACAGGCAGCTGTGTTTAATTATGTTCTCCTGATTTTGATTGTTTTTGTGTGTTTGAAGTATATGTTTGTGATATGCGCTTAGAAACACTTCACGTGTAATGAAGCGCTATATAAATCGAACAATAATAATAATAATAATAATATCCAGATATGTATCTTAATAGAGTTGGTATTCTATTGCTTAAATAGGACATCTCTTTTATTGTCAGCGTCCTGAAAAGGTGTTCCGTGAAGTATACATGAAACGCCAAAATGTAAATTAATAGGCTATTTACCTTGTCTGAAAGGTAAACACGATAAACACGAACGAATGGTTGTGAGAATTATAAACTTCAATGCTTCTAATTAATCTTTCTCCCGGTCCGGTGTCGTGGTTTAACTCGGTATTCGGATTCACTGATAAGCTCATAGTTGTTGTTTGTTACATTTGTGCAAGTAAAACTAACCGAGATTAATATACAATAATCAAAAGACCTAAATAGACCTAATGATAACAAGAAAATTACACGGATAATAAATCGTTTGGTTGTTGAAATGGAGAATATTTCAATGGAGGACAATGGAGACAAAAATGAAGTAGCGTGATTTCATATGAACGAGAGTGCTACGAGGGAAATTTCGTCCGGGCAGTAATTTATTTCCAACCGTCTAGAAAGGACTAGACACCGTTCCATGCCAGATCTTTCGTCCTGCATCACTGGCAGGGGATTTCGTATGAAAGCAGGAAACCAAATAACTGATGCCTTTTCACTAATATATAAGGAACCGAGCCAAACCGCGTACTGAGCCAAACTACGACATCGGTTCCTATGCTGACTTAGTGGTAGGATAGAAAAGAAAAGAAACTTTCTCCGGAGGCTGGATCCATGTACACTGCTTTGTTACGACGTGATATAGACGACTCGAGACTCAAAGACCTAATTAATTGGCTGATGAAAATGAACTATACTTTCGGTAATCTTTATAATGTGTTGCTCTATTAAAGTCAAAATACGACACTTGGATGGGATAAACAAATCAAAACACTCATACCGCTTTCTCGTGACTTTATAAAGCTGCGTCGAGATTTCAAAGCGTAATTTATCTGATGATGAAAGGAACTGTACATACCCGAAATTTGTTATGGATGCCTATGTTTGAGTCATGTTCTTTTAGTAATGTGTATCATGTGTTGGCCTAATACCAGTACCTCCATTAAAACTAATTTATAGAAATTGTACCTTCGAGGAATAAAATTGGCATGTATGTATTTCGGTCGACATGAACTAGTCTGTATATAGCAGCGGGGGTATTAATGGGTGAGCTAACGGGAAGCATGATAATAACATGGTATTGGTAAAGTAAAAGGTCAAACCATTAAAAGCCCCAGAATAAGACAGGTTATCTGTTCTCAAGAGATCTCCAGATAATCAATGTTATATTTACGGAAAATCAAACGCTAGTTAGATATTTTTTGTTAAAACCATTGATTGTCACGACGTGCTTGTAAGTAGATGTATTTTATTTTTTGACGGTCTTCAGGATGTCTTAAACGGAAATAAAGTAATTTGGAATGGTTCTAAGCAACTTCTCTAACTGTGGTGTCTGGATATATAAGAGCTAAATGTGCCTATCGTATGTTTTTATTTTGGCTTCAGATGTTATATAAATTATTTAGGTATTTATTCACATGTCAAGGCTATAATTAACTCTCTAGACCATCGGATGGCGGAGATTAAACAGATTGAAATAAAGTCGCCATTTAATGATTGAATTCAAAAATGGAGAAACGAGACTGCGTCTCGATTAACAAATTCCATAATGCATGTTTAATATAGACGTATCGCTTTGATTATATTTTTTGTTGTTCTCTATCCATAAATAATGCAGTGTGTGGGTGTGTGTGTGGGTGTGATGGAGTGGTGGATGTTGTGGTTGGGTGGATGAAGGTAGATAAATAGTGTGCATGGTTAACGCAGGTAAAGAAAATCGGGAGAGTTGAAGTGGTGGTCGTTAAGTTGTGGTGATTGAGTAGTTGGCGAGGAATCCGGTGAATGGAGAAAAAATGCTGGAACGGGAAACGGACATCCCAAGACTACGAAAATATACAAACCAATAGAAACACAAGAATGTATTGAACCAACCCATAAGAAGTAAAACATCGTTATTACATGTATGAACCCATAATTTATTTCTGCAATAAGATCATTTGATGTTTTGCAAATAAATCCATCTTTAGCAGATTTTCTGAACAACTTGTTCATTTTTATTATTTTATCCTTTTTATCACAGTATATTTCAATTTTAGTGTTCTGGTCTAAAAATATGAAAAAATACTTAACAGATTGTGTAAAATGGCACTTGTCCACCTTATTGCAGTAGCATCCTCGACTGTCAAAAATTATATCACTGAAGGTGGACAAAAGGTACACAAAGTCATCCTGATGTGGATTTCACTCGGTCGTTATGATGACTGATTGTCATTTGTATTATACGGACAATATCTATTTTTTATGGTTTAATACACACTGAACTGCACTTGAATTGATACTTCAACATTTTATTAGGAAACAAAATTAAAAAGACGCCCGTCTGAAGATTTCAATGAGAATCATAGGTGACGCTGGTTTGATTCGATCATATCCTATGTATAGTCTTCCCTCGGATTAAAGATATCCCTCAATTAAAGTTTTTGATAATGTAAAGAAGACAGGGAGAAAGAAATGAAAATGAAATGAAATGGGGTTTAACGTCCTACTATTCTGCTCCGACTGGGATAATGAAGACGTGCATACGCCATACAGTGTGTTATGACGGAAATTTTGGCCGGACATTATTGTCGCTACGGCCTACTCTTAGGCAGCGTCTTACTCACTTAGTCACCACATATGTACAAACAACATAAAATAATTAAATACTCTAAATATAATCAGTAACAATTCTTTAAAATACCATACAAGTAGGCCTGCTTCTAGTAAGAATTCGAAATAAAATCAGGTTGTAGCGCTCATAGCACACAGTATGGCGTATACCCGTCTTCATTAGCTTAGTCACTGCAGAAAAGTAGGACGTTACACCCAATTTTATTTCATTTGCATGTACACGTATTTCCATTTGGCAATTTAAAGTAATTTAACGCCATTATTAGTCCATCATGAGAACGACGCAAAAGGACAGCGTTGCAACATTAAAGACCCAAAATCCAACTTTACTGGTACAAGAACCCCATCGTATCCCATATAATTTCAACAAATATATGTATTCATGAAATATTTAATCCATCGAAGACACACATAAATAGCCAGTAACCCCCCCCCCCCCACACACACCCACACACACACCCACACACACAACCACCCACATACACCTGTTGCAGTAAACAGTTTTTGTTGTATGAATTATCATATCTACCAAATAATGTAATATTCTTAGTGACACATTCTGATATTCTGTCTGGTATAATTAATATACCATAATGTTTTGCGAAAATTCCACTCTAATGGATTCCCACAGCAGATAACATCAGGTAAGTCTCAGCGGTTGTGTTAGTTCCATCAGCATGCGAAACTATATGTGCTAAACATAAAAGAAACCCAGGATAAATAATTAAAAAATCATACTGTGTGCTAGACATAAAAAACAGCATAATATAACTATATAATCATATAGTATGCTAAACATTATATAACTAAAAGGTCATCAGTGTGCTAAAAACATAAAAAAAAATATGATAAATAACTATGAAATTAAGCAGTATGCTAAACCAGAACATACATAATAAAACACTATACATTATGCTAAACATAATACAAAATCATGATAAATATCTATACATTATGCTAAACATAAAACAAAATCATGGTAAATATCTATACATTATGCTAAAAATAAAACAAAATCATGGTAAATATCTATACATTATGCTAAACATAAAACCCGGGATAAATAGTAATACTGTATGCAGAATAATACATAGAAAATTGCATAAACAAACAGTGTGCTAAACCAGAAGATAAATAAATAAACATATAAACATACATTGCGCTAAAAAAAATATATGCTAAAAGAACTTGATAAATGACTAGCATATATACTGTGTGCTAAGAACTCAGGGTATATAACTATATAATACGATATGCTAAACAGTCGCAAGTCCTAATAAATAACCAGTGGTTGGAGAAATATAAACTCCCGCCTCATACCCCACAGAAATCTATAATATCCCGCGAGGTAAATTGGAAACCCATTTTGAAATCTAAATATACCACGTCTTTGTACACTTCCTGTATTTTACCCCATTTCGATTATTGTGATGTTATCTGGGATGTGTGCACCGATGAACAGACTAATAAACTACAAAACTTACAATTATATGCACTTAGAAGTAAAACGATATGTGGGACTATAAGGGTTATCAGCCATAAAATCTTAAACAATGAAACCGGGTTTATAACGCTACAAGAAAGGCGCAAACGACACAATCTGGCACTTATTCATAAAATTATTAATGATCTAACACCTGCATACCTAAAAGACCAATCTGAACGACAGACTCACCCTACCTGCAGAGAAGTGACTCTGACACAGTGAATAGCCATGATATCCATATGACGTTATCTAAACGTCACAGGTCATGAGGTCACATCAACAAACAAATGTAAACATCATCATTACAAGACACAATGTTACATTGTAAACTATAGCCTTCTTGCAACCTTTAGGACTGTATAATCCGTACAGAACGTCTTATCGCTTCTTCCAATGATTTTTCAGAAAAATAATATCAGCTACAACTCTAGATTTGACGTCGGCATATTGGCACTATTTTGTGCTTCGGTCGTGTCTATTTCAGATATACACAATCAATTCTGTTAATGGTTTTAGCGTGGGGATTGACTAAAAGTTAATATATTTCAGTTCTAAACAAAAATTTAAAACTTTAACGCAATTTTAAATAAATAGCCAAATTTTGGCTGGGATTACTGAGCAAAATGGCCATTCACTGTATACGTGCGAAAAAAAACCCCAGCTACCATTTAATTTTCGTACGTTAGTTACGTACGCTAAAAGACTTAATTCTATCCCGACGAAATACGATGAAACTCTTTCAGGATATCAATGCGAGATGTTTTTCAACAAAAGAATTGAACAAACTTGATATCATTATAAGAATTTCTCCGTCTCTGACTACTTTCAAACAAAAAGTAAAACTAAGTGATCTTATTATTCCAAATTCATTTTTACAAGGCAAAAGAAACAATCAGATTGTACATAGCAGACTGTGTCTTTCTTGTCGCGACATAAATTTTTACGACATATCTTCGAAGATCCATCATGCAGTTGCAGTCATCCATTTGAAGATTCTGAACATTTTCTCCTCTGGTGCCCCTTTTATTCAGATGCCCAATAAAACTCATTAAATCTTTCACCATTACATCAGCAATCAATTAAATCACTTCTATTTGGTACAGATCATCAAGGTACAACCAATAACATCTTTAAAATAGTACACGAATACTTTGATGTCTCCAGGCGTTTCAAGATTTAAGACAGTCTCTTTACTGTTCAATTTCAAATACAGGTTCAGGCGCTAACGACAGGCAGTCGCCTTCCAAAAGGCACTCCGGTACTCTACATCTAGTTTCGGCTGTATGACGGTAAGTGATATGTACCTACACCTATACAATTGCGATACGGCTACTGGTATGCTTATTAGGAAAACATGCCGCTTTTAGAAAAAAGTTCTCAAAATTAGGTGTGTAGAATTTTCATTGCAACTTGACCTTGTTTAAAGAAAATCGGATAAACTTGAATGAAAAACATTTTTCAAATGCGTCGTCATGGGCGACGCCGTTGGTAATCCGGAAACTTGAAAGAACTTGGAATGGCGGACCTCGTCATACAACCGAGGGTTGATGTAGGAGGAGTCAGCTGAGGTTTGCCGAGTGCCAAAATCGGGGTTGACATTTAAGGAGCTTATTCCGAGTTTAATAATCACCCCAGTTAATTATTTCAGTATCATATAAGAAATATCATACTTTCAGTTAAACATAAGTTTTGAAGTCATACAACACACTTAATTAAACTCGAAGAAACTATCTTTAAACGTAAAATTAATATTTGGTTTTGTTAATTTACCCCATAACAGTTTTATTGTTAACAACCGAAAACCCAATCAGGTAGAACCCTGTGTTAAAATATGATCCGCGCAAGTTTTGACGATTCGTTTTAGCCTGGCTGCAGGATTTTGGTAGAAATTTGTAAATAATCAACAAATAATTCTGCTATGTAACATTAAACCCACAAAATACCTAATCGATTTATGTTTCAGAGTGAATGGGTGTACGACCGAAATTATACGTTCTTTGATATATTTCACTGAATATAAGCCTGTAACCTTGAGTTTTCATACATATACATGTAATATACTTTAATAATATATGTATATAGTAAGGATATAAATAACTTTAATTAGTGATGTTGGTGCATTGTTATGAGCTTTCTTTTGTGGCAAGAATATTGGTTTAAAGATACTTTTAAGAAAGATGATTACAAGATCAGAGTAATGTCTGCATTTATTTAACAATGGATATTGTGTATTATCTTCATTAATGAACTACAATAGCATTGGGAAGGTTTTAACGAAGTAGGGCGTTACCTATATTATGTTGACATTGTTATTTTTCATAAAGGCCACGTAAAGAGAAGGAGACACTCTTCTTCTATTGCAGTAGAGCCAAGTCTTGCCTACTTTAGGGAAGTTGTATATTCCTAAAAAGCTAAGTAGACTGCACAACGCAGCATATTATAACTGTATCTACTCTAGCCTATCCAACCTCGTGGGTTTTCTCCTGGTACTCCGGTTTACTCTCACTACTAATGACTCCTACGCGCAAACGATTTATTGAAATAAAATTGTACGATATATATATATGTTAGTTTAGTACCGCAATAATCTGGTTTGCGTCGAATGGGCGTTAAACCCCATTTTTCTGTATCTACACTACACGTCGCGTCGTACAAAATGCGTCGCTTTTTTATGCAATAGCAAATCTTCCTATTCCATCCAACCAGATATATCATACAAACCCAACAGGATTTACCCTAATAAATAAAACTGCCCTTGACGTTCTAGAAGAACCTTTTAGCCAGATCCATAATAACAGGAAACTACAACTTGATCTTATGGAAGTTAAATAGGCTGTCGGTAGGAAGAATTTACGGTTACCAACTATGGCTTTAAATCTTTATGGTCAAAACCATTGCTCTATTGTATTGTAAAGATTGTTTTATAATCTAAGCAAATCCGATTAGAATACCTGTATAGATACTGATTTGACGTGTATAAAATAAACTATTGTTGTTTTTTTTAAAAGGAAATATCCAAAATAGTGACGGGAATGTCCAATGGCTGGATAGATGGATTAGAATAATTCTATTTTTTAAAAACACAATTAGTAATATCGAGGAGATGATCAGATAAAATGGTTAATTGGCCTTTATCTTCTGTGAATATTGATTTGTCGATTTTCCAGGTTGACTTTTAGTACCTTCTCTGTTTATGCCACTTTGTTTAACAATATCCCACACGCGTCCAAAAAAATATAAGACCCCGTGCTATCTCTAATTATGTTTCTCAGTGATAATCTTTGGTAGGCAAATAAAACTTCCATTTGCGAATATAAATTATTTTTTGTAGGCAAATAAAACTTTCATTGACGGATATCAATTAATGTTGAAATTTATTTGGTTATTCCGATGATGTGTTAAAATATATACAAAAATATTTCTTAGTGGTCTTATTAAATTATCCTGAAATATAAGCCTATCAAAATTCCTGTCCAGTGACGCTCATTGATGATCTCATTTTAAACTCATATTCGAATTACATCGTAATATATACTTTGTTCATTGATTATTAAATAATAAATAATCGATTCTGTTTATTAACTCACTGTTATAACCATAGTCATTTCAAGTTTGAAACATCCCAGTTCCTGCCCGGCACAACCCAAGTCCACAGAGGCACAAGAACACAAGACACACCAACGTAGAGCATCCTAAGATTTGGCAAGAAGCAAATAAATACACAGTCTTTTCACAATAATTGCTGGGTTCGTGTAATAAAGGTTCGTAGTAAGGCTGCCATATTGGAAACACCCAATAACTACCCACACAGTGCCAACCAATCAAAAACAGCGACAGCATGGTGTCCATTATTTTGAAAGTACTTGAGGCAAAGGCGTGGTCTGCTCCGTTAGCGTCATAAAACAAGTCCATACTCTCGTACCGTCGGATTTGAATGCTCTTCCATATCATGCCAATCAACTTGAGCAGTCCAAAACAACCACCAACAAGTAAATACACAGGAATTTTAGGCTGAACAGGACAATCCGTCAGATATTTAACACCTGAAATTAAAAGCATATAATATGATTATTATTAAAGAGGGCTAAATGGCTTAATTGGGTGTATATAGACAATGCCCGTCATATCTGCCATAAAAATAATAATATGGCGATACCCTCGATGACGGCCCACTGAAATACTGAAAATCGATACTTTGTATATTATCGAGGCATTGTTACTTGACAATCGAGAATATGAACTGCCAATCGACAATCGTCTTCCGCTCTTTATCAGGTGAATATCTCTATTCTTTGGAATCTTAAAATATACGAAAATGGTTCTAAAAAGCACCTTTTATAATATGAGTTTATATAAAGTAATTCATATCAGATTTTTAATTTTTTTATTGTAATTTCTAACCAATTATGTTCGGTGAAATACGCAACCAATCCAAATTGAACGGTAGTCATTTGCACATGCTTAGTCCATTCTATGCTTTTTATGTGTGCTTTTTGGAGGGGGCGGGGGTGTCGTTTGTGAATCAGAGATTATTAATTAGTTCTGAATTGTTTTCTGCCTAGCTCTAAAAAGTTCCTTACAACATTCCTCGATCTCTAAAGATGGGTCGTCATGGGGAACATTTTTTTTAAAGTAATGGTATGCAGACGCCATTACTAAATTTGTTTCAGAATGTTTAAACTATGCTTTTATACGTCACACATGCGGAAAGTGGAGTAGCGTTTCTTCCACAAGCAGTTATAACATAATGACTTATGTCATAGAGGCGTCCTGCCATATTAAAATACGTGTTAGTGATTGTAACATAAACCTGTCGCTATCAATACCCGGCTGGAGATCTTGGTAGTATTCCTTATGTCATTGCGTAACTATAACTTGTTGTTGGCATGTCTTATCTAACTTTCTTTGTCTGATAAACTATATTGAATGTTAAACCTTCATATGATGCTTGATACATTAGACAGGTGTCTAATGAGCTCCTTTGTCTCGAATACGTTTATAAACTCAGAACAGAAACGAATCTTCAGGCGGGTCCAGGAGGCCATGCTAGGCGGGTGCCTAGATCAAGGTACCTAATGGATACGAGTCAGGTCCAGGCAGGGCTAGGAGTTAGGTCCGGCCAGGACTGAGCGAAGGCCATGGGCGCCTTGGCACGAGACGGTACGAGACGACAGCTTCTGGAGTTAGCACACTCACGCTAAGCCAAGCTAATTAAGTCATGACTCCTTCCATATAGTTAGTTCTACGGTCGTTTACATCACGATGTTTGTACCTAATATTGTAAGAAGCAGAATAAAACTATTATTAGATGTATATACCAGTGTTGTCATCCAAGAACCTGATTAAAGTACAAATACTGTCACATATAAATTGATGCCGTAGACCAGAGCAACGCTTGAAGTCTTATACCACTAGACGACCACAGGCCACAGATTTTAGTATTCACAGGTAATTCTTTTTCTAAATCCTACCATGGCGACGGTTCATAAAATGACATTAGTGCTATGTATTATAATTTAACTGGAAATCTGCAGTTTATCATCACGCGTCATTAAATATCATGGTGTAGTTACTAAATTTAATATATTGCCTTTCAAGCTAGTAGTGGAACAGGAAAATGGCTAAAACAAAATTGTATATATATTATTTGTTTTAAAATGCGTCATGTTGTTTTTAAAAGATTATGAATTATCATTGGTTGTTTTGAACACATATTTTGGCTTTTAAATTTAGTAGTAGCTAAGTATTATCAGGCTAATAACTGCGAAGTGAAATGTTTTATGATTGTTTAATTATCTGGAATAGAGTTAAGCGTATCCTAATTGAGAGATATAGCTCTTTAATCACACGGTATTAACGGTTTTATCTCTTATAATTTTTTTTGTTGTTATTTTGTCTATATATATTTATGCCCCGAGGTTTACGGGAGACCCGATATTTACGGTAGAGAGTTTTATTTGTAATACCCCAAAGTTTTATTGGGAAATGCCCCGATATGTAACGGGAGAAGTTTATGTTAAGTGGTTTAACCCCAGGAGGGTTGTGCTCGGATTTAAGAGCGAACGTATCGTCTTATTTTGTGTTGTGTTTAAAAATTATAGAGATAAACCGTTAGTTCTTTCAAAAATATCTTATTTAAGATTGGTTAAATGTGTTCAGATCATTCATTATTCTTGAGATAAAACAATATGACTCCCTAATTTCAATTGTATCCATGTAAATAATACTGTAAATATCGTTAGATCGATATCTAAAGTCAAATCTGTTCCACTTGCTAATTTGATTAACTATTAATTAAGTTCACTCCATGATATATATGATAAGCAGATGATAAAACTTCGGCACGGGTGGCAGTTAATACTCTTCATATGCACATGTCATAACACGCCGTTTTGCCAGACGGTATGGAAAATGAAAAGACTACCGGTCAATAAGAAGAGCTGAACTAAACGGAGCAGGGAATATTCTGACCCCTCAACATTACTGGAACGAGGAAGGGCATCATATGTACCCCACCCCTACAGTTGGCTACGACAGTGCAGTAGCGGTCTAAGAAGATAATTACAGTAGTTTGTGTTCGCGATTCCACCAAATAATCGGTCTAAGAAGATAATTAGAGTAGTTTGTGTTCGCGATTCCACCATTTATGTGAATAATAAGAGTAGTCTGTGTTTGTGATTCCAGGATCTCGTTTGTTTTTTTTTTTCATTGACTCGCGTGTGTGACCGATTGTGTGTATATAACTTTTAAGTTCGTGTGTTTTTCATTGACCTTTTCATTTTGTTTAAAGACATTTTTGGATATTATGACATTTTACATGTATATATAACTTTTAAATTCGTGTGTGTTTCATTTACCTTTTCTTTTTGTTTATAGACATTTTTGTATACGACATTTTACGAGTGTTGTTTGTTTTTATATATTTTTTCATTATTATTATTGTTGTTTATATCTTAATAAGAGTAGTAATTATCGACTCCATAGGTATCTAATTTTGTAATAGTCTTTAAAAGTTATTTCATATAATTCATAACTTTATTCAAACAAAGAGAGGTATATAACATAATGACTTATGTCATAGAGGCGTCCTGCCATATTAAAATACGTGTTAGTGATTGTAACATAAACCTGTCGCTATCAATACCCGGCTGGAGATCTTGGTAGTATTCCTTATGTCATTGCGTAACTATAACTTGTTGTTGGCATGTCTTATCTAACTTTCTTTGTCTGATAAACTATATTGAATGTTAAACCTTCATATGATGCTTGATACATTAGACAGGTGTCTAATGAGCTCCTTTGTCTCGAATACGTTTATAAACTCGGAACAGAAACGAATCTTCAGGCGGGTCCAGGAGGCCATGCTAGGCGGGTGCCTAGATCAAGGTACCTAATGGATACGAGTCAGGTCCAGGCAGGGCTAGGAGTTAGGTCCGGCCAGGACTGAGCGAAGGCCATGGGCGCCTTGGCACGAGACGGTACGAGACGACAGCTTCTGGAGTTAGCACACTCACGCTAAGCCAAGCTAATTAAGTCATGACTCCTTCCATATAGTTAGTTCTACGGTCGTTTACATCACGATGTTTGTACCTAATATTGTAAGAAGCAGAATAAAACTATTATTAGATGTATATACCAGTGTTGTCATCCAAGAACCTGATTAAAGTACAAATACTGTCACACAGTTTTAGGCAATAATTATATCCATAATTATATCGGCTACTTAGAGTCAGCAACCAAAACATATAAATCTTTCCTTCGATACAATTGTAGGAAACCGGGAAATCCCACGCCATAGGCAGTGAAACATTTAGAGCAACCATCATTCGAGAAATAATTCAGATTTAAGCCTGATTAAGTCCAACTGCCAAATTTAGGAAGAGATGTATTTGGACTTTGTCGACCCCTCCGCACTTTATATGTGTATTAAGTGGAGTGGAACCTTTATACTGCATTCGGCCAAAAGTTACAAACTGTAATACTGTATTCGGCTAAGAGCTACAAACTGTAATCCTATATTTGGTTAAGAGCTACAGATTACAAGAGCTGGCTGAAAGATTCTAAACCTGAAAAGGATATATCGATTTGGTTAAAACAAACGTTTGTCACCAACAAGTAACAATCATTAAATGAATCATACGAAGTGCAACTGTAGTTTGCTTATTGTCTTCGTGCCAGATCATCTTGTGAACATATCCATAAAAATCACCAGAAAGGGACAAAACTGGCTATAGGGCAGTCATCGCAACCTAAAGGACTAACTCCAGCACACGTACATGCCGACATGCTCTCCACTTAAGGGGGCGATTCCCCTTTTTTTTCACAGTAAAGCAATGGGCTGTGGCATTTGAGCGTGACAGAGCCTTGACGATGACTCGCATCCTGGAAGGCCACCAACAGGAACCATTAGAAAAGAAAAATACCCGGGTGCATGACATGCTGATGACTGTTCGATGATTGACATCTCGACATATTGCCAGTGTTGTGGGCATATCTTTTGAGAGAGTTATGAACACATTATCGCCAACAAGTTAGGAATGACAAATGTTTCTGCAAGAAGGGTGCCAAAACTCTCGACTGTGGGTCAGAAACGTGTCAAATTCCCAACATCCTGTGACAATCTGCACCGTTTTGAAGCGGATCCTGGTCATTTTGTGCCCCGATTTATAACCATGGACGAGACCTGTTTCTAAATATAAATATGGAATTAACTAGCCGATCAGCTGTGAGCGACTTCTTTTAGGTGTTTATGTACCTCAAAGGGATAACTATGTAGAAAAATAAATGGAAGACATCGACTTTGTACACATCTTAGAACTTTTCAACCCGCTCTCATATATACTGTATTCGGCCAAGAACTACAAGCTATATTACTGTAAATCTCAAGATAACGATAATTCGATAAAACGCTAAAAGTTGGCATTGATTAGTTTGGTTTTTTAGACTCAATTTTATTGTATCGATAATATAATTTCAAACAATTATCGATTTTGTAAATAACAGCTTGGATTTGCTCAAATTCAACAACAATTTTAGTTATATT